AAAAGATCCTTCTGTTATTTAGATTGAAAAAGTCTGCACAAAATATAGATCAATAAATCCATCACAAAAACTAAAGTGCAGGTGAAGTTTCCCAAAATAACTAAATAAAATGAAGCTTAAGATCTATTGAGCATAAATGTAACAATAAAATATATGTTTCCTTTAAATGAGCTATAACTTCCAAAACTTGACAAGGTGATCATCTGACCCTGAAGCTTGTGGTGTTTCATCTTCCTCTGTTCCTGCAGGAATGATTCATTTCTCTGATGCTCTGTCTTTCATCACCTGACTCTGTTCTTGATCCATGGACTGTGGATCTCAAGAGACAGACATGCGCGTGTTTGTACCGGCAGTTTAGAGCGGGGGAGACGCAGTCTGCAATGGCAGCCCAGAGCGGAGTGGGGAGAGAAAAAAAAGACAAGTGGCAGCTTAGAGCTGGGTGGAGACACAGCTGAGCCACGTGTTGTTTTTAGCTTTTTAGCTAGCTAGTATTGCGCGCAACTAATTAGCGTTACACCAGTACGACAGGTGGAGGGGGGTGCGCAGTTCTGTTTGGTTGTTCGGCTTGCAAGGTTCTGTAAAAGGGGCGGGGCGCCCTGACGTATTACGTCATGAAATTAGCATATCATGATGTCATTTTTTTTTTGCCCGGGCAAGCTTTTTTTTTAACCGGTATTATTGTGAACAATATGATATGGCCCAGCCCTAATTCCCAGTTATTTGTCATTTGTCCAAGCAGAACATGTGATAATATACTTTTATGAAGTTAAGCATTCTTACCATCACAATGTCAGAGCCAATCTCCAGTCCCCATTGGTCAAGCTCCTTTAAGCTCTCAGGACTGCCAGAGATATTCTTCAGAAGTTGCCTTATTGAAGAGGTGTGCTGTTCACTGCTCACATTGATGTGCATTGTCAAGTCCTATGATGTATCAAGATAAACATATCATGCAGATTCATATTCTATATATAGCCACCAGTTTTTGGTCATTCTTTGCAAACAGACCACATGCTGGGCTACTCTTCCACTGTATTAAAACAAACATACTTTCATTGCTCTGAAGTCCTTCCTCATTTTATCTGGGATTCCTGTCATGTAGGAAAGCTCTGGCACCAAAAGGATCTCTCCAGTGATGGTTTGCTGCAAGACAGAGACAGGTGTACAATGGAAAATATGGTTCCTAGACAACTGCTCAAGTTTACATGTTTGGATAAAGTTGAATCTTTTTTCATATCTTCAAGCCCATGGGAGAGAAAGATGGTTGGTAGCAAATCATGTTTCCAAAGTTAATAGAACTGAAAATCAATGCTGAAGAACTTTGTGGTCCCAGCTCAGAGAATCTAATAAATTATCAGGAGATAATAGAGCTGGGCAGCACAGTGGCTCAGTTGGTAGAGCTGCTGTCTCTCAGCAAGAATGTTAAAGGATTGCCTCCCGGCCTGAGACCTTTCTGGGTAGTTTGCATGTTCTCCCAGCTTTTTCTGGGTACTCCAGTTTTCCCACACAAACCAATGTTAGCATGTTAGGTTAGTTTAAATTGTCCACAGGTGTGAGAGAGAACAGTGTTTGTCTTCATCTTGCACTGTAACTGTTAGGAGAGTGGGTGTGCACATAGCATAGTTATATAACTTGGATTACTGTGCTGTGAACATCCCAAAAGGATTAACTCGTAGAACATTACATCCACCAGACAATTTGAGGATTCCCTAACCTTGATGATACCTCAATACAAGAGGTAAAAAGTAACAATGCTTGGGTTGACCGCAGCTCGTAGATGACCAAATAGTTTAAATCTGCAGGATACATTTGTGATATTACATTGAAGTGGTTAAGCTCAGTCAAACCTTACCAGCTGTACAGTAGTCCCTCGTTTATCACGGGGATCCGTATCCTGAAGCCCCGTAATAAGTGAAAAACCACCAAGTAGGAATAGTAGTACAAGTAGTAATTAGTAATTTATTTTAGTGTATATATATGCAGGAAGAAGCTTCTGCCACAGCTGTGGGCTGCACACACGTGCCAAATCATTTAAAATTATTTATTTTAAATTTTAAAAATCCATGCCGATCATGCAGCTCATCCATCAATCAGCCATTATGTATCATGTCCAATCTTACTTTGAAAAACCGCGATAGAGCGAGTCGCAAAAAACTAAACGCGAAGAAGCGAGGGACTACTGTATACTATTTGCAGGCCAAGTTGGAATGGTTTGCACTTCATTTCAAGCAGCCTATCAGCCGACTGCCCCAGCAACTAAAGGTGATTTATTTAGGAAATTTGTGTTGTCTACATTGATCCCGGCCCGAGACCTTTCTGGGTTGTCTGGACATTTGTGTTTTGTTTGTTTTTTTAATTGGAATTGCATAGCTGTCTTTTTAATCAATTTAAAAAATATATATATTCCTTTTGTGCTTTTTTAACTCATCTGTACAGCACTTTGGTCCTGTATTTTCTTAAGTGCTTTATAAATAAAGCTGGGTTAGAGTATAAGCTGTTAGAGGACACCATAAACTTAGATGAAGTTCATAGGTCATCCCTGATTTAAGGCTGGGCCATATCATATCGTTCACGATAATAGCGGTAAAAAAAAGTTTGCCCGGGCAAATAAATGATATCATGATATGCTAATTTCATGACGCAATACGTCAGGGCGCCCCGCCCCATTAACAGAACCAAGCACGCCGAACGACCACACCGAACTGCCCCCCCTCCCCACACACACACCTGTCGGTTCTGGTGTGACGCTAATAAGCTGTGCGCAATACTAGCCAGCTAAAAAGCTAAAAAACAAACAACGCGCGGCTCAGCTGTCTCTCCATCCAGCTCTAAACTGCAGGTACAGTCGACTCAACTGTCTCTCCCTCCCCCCGCTCTAAGCTGCCACTCGTCTTTTTTCTCTCCACTCCGCTCTGAGCTGCCGGTGTGGGTCTCCCATGCTCTAAACTGCCGGTACAAACACGCGCAGCTCAACTGTCTCTTGAGTTCAGTCGGTCCATGGACCAAGAACAGAGTCAGGTGATCAGAGACAGAGCATCAGAGAAATGAATCATTCCTGCAGGAACAGAGGAAGAAGAAACACCACAAGCTTCAGGGTCAGATGATTACCTTGTTACAAGTTCTGGAAGTTATAGCTCATTTAAAGGAAACATATTTTTTTGTTGTATATTACATTTATGCTCAACAGATGTTAAGCTTAATTTTATTCAGTTATTTTGGGAAACTGCACCTGCACTTTAGTTTTTGTGGATTTATTGATTATATTTTGTGCAGACTTTTTCAATCTAAGGTCGTTTTCACACTAGATAGTCTGGTAGACTCGGTTCGGTTCGGGACCAATATTCATGAGCTTTTGTTTCCATTTGAGCTGGTGCGTTTGCATTCACACTGCACTGTGCAGTCGACTCAACCTGTTGAACCAACCTATTCCCTCACTCGCCTGTGGGGGCGCTGCACCAAGAACTACTGAAAGAAACGACACAAAAACCTCTGAAGACACTTCTTCTTCTTCTTCTTCTGTAAATAAAAATAAAATGAAGTGGCATCAAGTTTTAGCAGTTTTATTTTGTCATTTTTCAAAAATGGACTTAACATGAGCAGAAGATGAGACAGAAGACCATGGAGAATATTGTTTCTACACAAGGCAGCTGACGGCTCCATATAAGGTCAGAGAAATGCGTGTTTGTTTACACTGTGGAGCGGGGTCCGGTCTGTTTACATTCACACTGTACTCGAACCGCGCTGGAGTTCTCTTCTACCGGACCGAGACCTAGGTTTTAGCCCGGGTCAGAGTTCGCCTTTTTGTTCCGTGACGGAGTTCGATGGCGCGTTCACACCTCCCCAAACAAACTGGACTTTCTAGGAAAACGAGCTAGAGTTCGATTAAAGCGGACTAAACAGGGCTAGTGTGAATGCACCCTAAATAACAGAAGGATCATTTTTATTTTTATACTTGGAGACTGAATACTTTACTAAATAAAGTAATTTCAGTAAAATTACCCCTTGTTTTTTTTTTATATTTTATGTAATACTGCAAAGCAACAGGTTAATTTTTTCAAATAAATAATGATTTCTGTTTTTTTTTTAATATCGCAACATTTATCGTTATCGTCAGAATGCTCTGAAATATCACAATATTATATTTGAGCCATATCGCCCACCCCTACCCTGATTCAAGGTGACACTTCCCTCCACCAGCAAATGCTTTGCTCTCCATATCTGAAGGGTTTACTCCTCTCCATGCTCATCATCTCTTCTACCCAGGTCTTCGCCCAGTTAACTCAAAGGAATGCATTCACTTACAAGTTATTCCTTCCTCTTTAGCGTGGTTCATATGAACAGATCTCAGATCTGACATCAACGCCTTCAGAAAGAACATGCCAAACACCTCCAAACAGAAAATGTAACTGTTTCCTTTGATTCTTTTTAATCTAAAATTTCACAATGCATGACTGTATAAATAACCCAGGCTTGAATTATAACAGTTTACACAAACTAATCATGCAGTTATTTCTTAATTTGGCTGATAATGATGACCAATAATGTACTAGGACGTTGTGCAATTTTTTTTTTGTTGTTGGTGCAGGTAAGCAAATGATTTACACAACAATGCAGTTGATCAAATTTCCCAATTTCTGCAGGTATTTTAATCTAACTCAAGTTCTTTGAAACATACATTTTCAAGTCAGTAAAAGGAAACAAGCAACTTCTGTGATACAAAAAAAAAAAAAAAGTGGTAGAAAGTAAAACTTATTGTAGCCACCAGATGGCAGTAGGTGTCTGTGACAAGAATTAATAAACACCAGCTGAGAGGTAAAAAAAGACTGCCTTATATGAAATATGGCGGTGTGTTGAGCTTTTAATATCATGCTGGTATAACCAATGCTGACTAGAAATTTTACCTTCCCTCCTGGTTTAGACCGCTCCTTTGGTAGATGCTTGAGTAAAGGTTGGTTCATCTCTCTGATTGTGATCCCATAGTTCTTGCTGGTAACATTATTGAAAAACATACAAAAAAACAAGGACTAACATAAATATAAACAACACACCACTGAACCTTCCATTGTTGGTCTGACAAAAACAACTGTTATTAGCCATGTTTACATGCACAACATTTTTTGACTGGATTGAAATGTTTTCAGATGAAATAATCCAAATGTATCGTTTACATGGGCACAATCTGTTCATGATGAGCGTTTACATGCAGCGGGCTTTGTTCTGAACAGAAGTACTGACATGTGCAGAGTGGTAAACTCTCCTTAAAAAAACACAGAAGAAGAAGTTCTACTTCCGGGATGAACGTAAACAAACCTGAGCACCCAAAATGGACCCGTGACAGGTTTTAATGATGGTGGAGACGTTGCTGCACTCCCTGACTGAGGTACAGGTGATGCAGATCATTTTGAGCTCTTTCAAAGTTTCTAGTAGAAATGTTGTCGCTCACTGATCAGTTTTACTTCCCCGACATGCTAATATTATTAGCATTAGCCAGGTAGAAATGACAAAGTCACACGTGCAGTCAGGTCAGTTTTTCACCATCAGATAAAAACGAACAGATCAAGTGTTTACATGAGCACCATTCGGGTTATGAATCGACGTAAACCACCCGTTTCGTTCTGATCACTATTTCGGAGCACGCTGAATAAACAAAAAATAATCCGGACAGGGTGTTTACATGACGCATTTTTAATCCGAACGGCCATTTGATCCAACTACTTATGTCCATGTAAACATAGCTATTGTAATTCAATGACTGTTTCCCTGCTCAGGTCTGGTGGATTCACAATGTACAGGAGACTCACCTGTAGTAGTCCAAAAAGGTGGTTTCAGTACCATTCATCAGAGTGACAGTGTCTTTTGGCGACTTATTCCACTCGATTGCATCAATGCGGTATGTGCGGTTGTTGTAACGGGTGATGACAATGTTGCCAACAAGTTCTTTGGTGCATTCGTCTTGGAAGTTCTCCTTGCTCTGTTGGTACAGCGTGTTCCTAAAGGACAACAATATGGAAGTTAATTTAGTCCTCTTTTAAACTCACTATCTGTCTTTTATGTCTCATTTTATTCTTTCAAACATAAGAAGAAATGAGAAAGAAATGCCACATTAGATCAATGGCGTACCACCAAATCATCTTAAAAGCATGTGTCCAAATTCAAAAAGCGTTCAATACAAAAACAACTGGACTTTATTTGTAACAGAAGACGTTTCGCTCCTCATCCGAGGAGCTTTCTCAATTCAAAGAGCAGTGAGTGAGGGGTTCAGGTTATAAGGCTGAGTGAGATAAGACACACACACATATGTAGGTTGGCATTGGCATTTTTGTATTGAACACTTTTTGAATTCATCATGTCCTGGATGACTGAGAATCTTCACCATCTTCCAAAGAAATGGGGCAAAGAATAATGAGCATAAGAAGTTCAAGGACAAGTGCATTAATACTCTAAAAGCTGTTATTTAAATCCGACTTCATAATGAAATCTGGTGTCTATACACATCATCCCTGAATAACTTGTTCATAGTACATTCTTTGTTAAAACATGCATGAGTGCCCACAAAGAGCAGAAGCACAACAACAGAACAAAGGGGGATTCTTGTCAGAACTGCATTTAAAGCATTTTGTAGCAAATTGTCAAGACATCTAGAAAACTCATTTTGATGTGTGGTGACAATAAATTGAAAAAGAGAAGCTATTTTAACAAATATGTAACACTGTTAATAGAATGTGACGGTATGTGTGTACAAACCGGATTCCAAAAAAGTTGGGACACTAAAATTGTGAATAAAAACTGAATGCAATGATGTGGAGATGGCAAATGTCAATATTTTATTCGTAATATAACATAGATGACAGATCAAAAGTTTAATCTGAGTAAATGTAACATTTTAAAGGAAAAATATGTTGATTCAAAATTTCACAGTGTCAACAAATCCCAAAAAAGTTGGGACAAGTAGCAATAAGTGGGTGGAAAAAGGAAATTGAGCATATAACGAACTGCTGGAAGACCAATTAACACTAATTAGGTCAATTGACAACATGATTGGGTATAAAAAGCTTCTCAGAGTGTCAGTGTCTCTCAGAAGCCAAGATGGTAAGAGGATCACCAATTCCACCATTGTTGCACAGAAAGATAGTGCAGCAAAACCAGAATGGTGTTACCCAGCGTAAAATAGCAAAGACTTTTAAGTTATCATCATCAACCATGCATAACATCATCAAAAGATTCAGAGAATCTGGAACAATCGCCGTGCGTAAGGGTCAAGGCCGTAAAACTCTACTGGATGCTCATGATCTCCGGGCCCTTAAACGTCACTGCACCTCAAACAGGAATGCCACTGTCAAGGAAATAACAGAATGGGCTCAGGAATACTTCCAGAAAGCATCGTCAGTGAACACAATCCACCGTGCCATCCGCCGTTGCCAGCTGAAACTCTACAGTGCAAAGAGGAAGCCATTTCTAAGCAAGCTCCACAAGCTCAGACATTTGCACTGGGCCAGGGGTCATTTAAAATGGAGTGTGGCAAAATGGAAGACTGTTCTGTGGTCAGATGAGTCACGATTTGAAGTTCTTTATGGAACACTGGGACGCCATGTCATCCGGACCAGAGAGGACAAGGATAGCCCAAGTTGTTATCAACGCTCCGTTCAGAAGCCTGAATCACTGATGGTATGGGGTTGCATGAGCGCTTGTGGCATGGGCAGCTTGCATGTCTGGAAAGGCACTATTAATGCAGAGAACTATGTTCAGGTTCTAGAACAACATATGCTCCCATCTAGACGTCATCTCTTTCAGGGAAGACCCTGCATTTTTCAACACGATAATGCCAGACCACATTTTGCAGCAATCACAACATCATGGCTACGTAGGAGAAGGATCCGGGTACTGAAATGGCCAGCCTGCAGTCCAGATCTTTCACCTATAGAGAACATTTGGCGCATCATAAAGAGGAAGGTGCGACAAAGAAGGCCCAAGACGATTGAATAGTTAGAGGCCTGTATTAGACATGAATGTGAGAGCATTCCTATTTCTAAACTTGAGAAACTGGTTTCCTCTGTCCCAAGACGTCTGTTGAGTGTTGTAAGAAGAAGGGGGGATGCCACACAGTGGTAAAAATGGACTTGTCCCAACTTTTTTGGGATTAGTTGACGCCATGAAATTTGGAAACAACAGATTTTTCCCTTAAAATGATACATTCTCTCAGTTTAAACTTTTGATCTGTGATTTGTGTTCTATTCTGAATAAAATATTAGATGTTGGCACCTCCACATCATTGCATTCAGTTTTTACTCACAATTTGTTTAGTGTCCCAACTTTTTTGGAATCCGGTTTGTATTAGGAATGTGCGATATGGCATAAAATTCATTTCACGATATGCATTGTGAAGGGTGGCGATAATGATATATATCGCAATATGTTTTGGGTATAAAACTTAATAGGAATTTTTCTAAAAGCATAGGGTGTCCTTTTGCCATCATATATTTTGAATTAAGAAAATTCCACTACTAGGTCCAGAGAGTTTTTAAATAATAAACAAATCAATATTAGGCTTCTTGCTTGTAGTGCAAAACAGTGCAAAATATATAAAATGTAGTTTTAGACATACGTTTTAAACAAAAGAATATGTTGTTAACAGTTTCCAGTCTTACAAATGAACAGCAACAGAGCAGCATTTTACACCGAAACACTTCAACCTCCAAACCTCTAGTGGGCGACTCCTTCTACTTTAAGGAGAGCTGACACAAAATGACTCTGTGGCTTTGATCAGAGGGTCTCGCAGTAAAATCACACAACACAGCGTTCTTTTCACAGATCAGAGAGCAGGTTTCTCTAAAGCTGACCAACGCTTACTTTAACTTGCGATGGAAAAAAAAACAACTTTTGACAGAACACAGCATTTTGCGCATGCGTCAGAATACGGCAACACTACGGCAAGCCGGGCGTAGTTAGCTTGTAACTTCGCTACTTATTAGCTCTCGAAGAAAAGACTTTAACGCCACTTGCGCACAGTTTTCAACTAAAAAAAGTAACAATTAAATCTGACAGCTCTGATTTTACACTTGAACACCATTTACGCACAGTTTTCAACAAAAAAAAGTAACTATTAAATCTGACAACTCTGATTTTACATCAGACACAGCATTACTGCGGTTAGCCGGTAGAAGACAGATCTCTATCGAAGGCTAAATTTTCTATCGTTTCTACCGTGTACTGTTTATATCGAGCATTCCTAGTGTGTATACATGTGACATGTTTACTGCAGTTTTATTTTAAGATTGCAGACTAAAATAATAAAAATATCACAACTAGAATTGTGATTTTGAGCCAATGGTTGTTTCATTTTGCTGTGTGAACTTACATGACATCCAGCACAGAGTCATTCCGTAAAACTTTGTGAGCCACATCTACAGACACGTACAGACCTCCATCTGTGTGCTTAATAGCAGTAGAATAGCCTGGCCACACCTGAAGTCTACAAGACACAGAGGGGGAGATGAATTTAGAAATAGGATTACAACAGCAGAAATGTTAGTCTGAAATTGAATTAAATCCCATTACTAACCGATGTTTGTCAATAATGACTGCACTTTCTGGATCATAATGACCTCTGCCCACCAGCTTCAGTCCGAGGATTTTCATTACTCTTGAAAAACAAGAACTTAAGTCATATTGTATCAACCTTACAGCACCAGTGTCAGCACAGCGGTGAAAATGGGTTTGAGTCTTAAATATTAAGAGCTTGAATGGATCTAAAGGAGGAAAGTATTTCATTGTTTTGTAATGCTGCTGTGTTAAAACAAGTTCAGAAAAATATTAAGGATCATTTAGTGTTTAAACAAATTTAAAATTGTCAAGCGTGAATAAAATATATATATATTTCAAGGACTACCTTCTCAGCACCACATTGTAGAAAGGAATGCAAAGATCAGAACTTGGCGGCAAAATCTTCTTCATCTGGATTCTGATTTCTATTTCTTCATTATCGGTCCTTCTCACACTCTTAAGTACAACTTCCTGCATGTAATCAGAATGATTGATTGTCTCTCCAAACAAATGATCACACAACAGCATTATTGTCAAGTTTTGCCTCATGTTCTAATTTTTTTAATTTGTAGGTGAACAAAAAACCCCCCCCCAAAAAAACACCTCACTTACTGTATTTAAAACACCTTGAAAAATAATCTTAAGAAGTTTATCATAATCCGAGGATTCATGTTTTTGAAAACGTTAAGTTCAGGTCTGTCTTCTCATTTTAAGCAGCAACAACATAACTGCAACTTACATGGTTCAGCTTAACAGGAAGGTACAGTATGGAGCCATCAAAAGCCACTACGTCCCCCGTGGCTGAACGATGATCTTTCATCATTCCAAAACGCATAGCCATCGATTCAACGTTTGGACTGAAAGGACAAATAAATCAAACAAGATTCAATTCTAATAAACTAATAAAAAGAACACACAAGTAGCTCTCAACTAACAAGCTCTCATTCACAAAATATTATTTGAGTCACTTATGATACAACAAAATACAGGTTTTTAATGGCTGCAAGTTAAAGTAAATGACACTTACGTAAACGTAACATGATACTGGTACACAGCTTCATTCTTGCATTTAACTGGGATGTGATTTGACCCAATCGTTATGGGAGCTCCTTTACTTCCAGCTTTATTAACTGGCTCACTGAAGAGAGAAAACAAGCACAACATTTTTTTATTTTACAATTTTTTGATTCAAGAAGTAGCACGCTTCAGTAAACCACAAGCAGTGTCCTTGATAACGACTGCCAACGTTTGTGTGATGTATAAATAAGTTATTTACTCAGAAAATTTTCATTTGTTGACAATGTCTAGAAAATATACAATTTGCTGTTTCATTGAAGCCTTTCTTTGATGGTGGTGATGCAGGGTTGTAATGTGTGAGTTAAGTTAAAGCTTTGGTAAACTAAACTGCAGGACATTACTCTATCTCAGGGTGTTCCTAATGAAGTGATTGAACGAACACCAGATAAGGTAAAAAAATTAAATAAGACAGCAAAGTGCTGAAAGACCGACATGCCAGCTTGGTATGTTATGACCAAGTGATGGGATCTGTAAAGTTCTATCTTATTTTAAAGCAGAAGATGGAAGCATACGTACCATACTGCCTCCATTTTCAACTCCTGTTTTGGTGGAGCACTAGTAGAAAGCACATCTGTCGCTGTCACAGAGAGCAAAACTCCTTTTAATTATTTACATTATATCAAACACACACAAAATATAAATCATAATGCACTATTTTGGACAACTCAAGTGTTACACAATTATACTTTTTTCCTCCTTTCGGCTGCTCCCTTCTTCAGGGGTTGCCACAGCGAACTGTTGCATGAAGACTTGGCAATTATTTTTATGCCGGATGTCCTTCCTGACACAACCAGGGATTCATTTGTAAAACAACTGATGACGGAACACAAATAGCAAGCGGTCCAGCAGGAAGGGGGGTGTCTTGTGTGTGTGTGTCTGTGTGCGTGTGTGTGTGTGGGGAGGGGGTCCGTGGTTCCTCCCCCAGAAAATTTGGAATAAAAAATATGTCATTTCCTGCATTTTGGTGTATTTTAACAGGTTGTTAAACATCTGTAAACATTTGATTAAATTGATTAAAAACAGGTCTCTGTTGTAAATGACGAGGCTCAATAAGACCAACAACCTGTATAAATAAAGGTTGAATTGAAATTACTATTTTAGAGAGCGGTAAAAAGAGCCGCCCCGATTCTATCAAGTGTCTTAACCCCCCCCCCCCCCCCCACACACACACACACAAACTTCAATGTCCAACCCAAACTCTTCTCAGCTGAATTCAGTCCTGCGTGTTGTTCTGCTCCAATCTCCATCACCACTGCCAGGTGCTTCAATTCTCTGTTGTCCAGATAAGGACAATCCATCCTTCCATTTATTTTAGATAATAAATTGGACTGTCTTTTTGACATTTTGATGCTGTTATTTTGACTAATTTTGAAACGTGCAATGTGAATAATACACATCAAACATTTCACTCATATATTTTATTATTTATTATCTTTGAAATATATGCAGGAGTTGACACATTAGCAGTTGTGCGCGCTCTGCAGAGATGTCTGGAGACGCTCCTGTGTGTAAAATGTGCACTGTCAGCAGGGTACACAGCTGAGCAAGTGAAGCTGACACTCCACCCACGTCAAAAACTCCAGTAAATATGATGAGTGGTTAGTGCTACGTTTGTGCTGTTAAAATGTTTGTTTGTGCTGCTTTGGTTTCTGAGACACAGCTGAAGGTGGATGAAGACGCTTCATCCCTGAGGGACATGCGGTCAGTCTTTCTGCTGGCAGCAGCGTGTCCACGAGCTGTTGCGCCTGCTGCTGCAGTAACATTCACTCCACAGAACATGGACAATGTCTCCTGTTGTTGTATTTTTAATAAATAATCAATATAAAAATGCGCCATGACTTTTATGGGCGGAGAAATGATCTGACGGATCTGATGGAATAGTTGCCTGAATGCACACGGTGCAAATAAGGGAGTTTCCGGATCTTGTTCCAGCAGGATCCGGCTCAAATTAACCACTGGACACAACCATAGACCACCGAGCTACCACAGCCCTCTGAGTGGAGCAGAGAGCTGCTATCTAGGGTGCCTGGGGGAGCAGATGGTGGAGGTTAAGGGCCTTGTTTAAGGGCCCAGAGTAGGGCAATTAATGGTGGAGACAGGTGTGGGTGCTTCACCTACCCCACCAACATTTTGATGTCATGCTGGGAGTTGAACCGGCGATCTTCCAATCACAGGCTCACCTTCTCCAACCTCTGTGCTACCACTCCTTGTTACACAATTATACTATAACCAATTAAAATATATCAATAGGTCATACACTGTGATTTTAGAAAATATACTAAGTAAAAAGACATTTTACAAGCAACAATCTAATGGGGGCTGAGATGGGGCAGAGGCAGGGCAGCCGACCCAGGACCCAAAATTCCCAGGTTTGATCCCCAGTCATTGCACATCTTGTGGTGTCTCTGAGAAGGACACCCTATCCCCAATTGCTTGCACCACCTGAGTGCATCCCAGGTGCGATGGGTTAAATGCAGAGAGCCAATTTCACCATTGTATGGGAACATACAACGATGACAACGTAACACATTATTATTATGAAGGGAAAATGTTGGGTTTTTACTTTGACTGTTTGTCACTGCAAGTTTTTATTACTTTCTTTTTACCTGCTGAGGGAGGCTGGGAGGGAACAGCTGTTTGGGGCTCAGATGATGGTGTCTTGATCTGACCTGGAGGAAAAGGTGGAAGCAAAGTGTGCCCTCGTCCCATTCCAAGCTGTGGCATAGCATCTCTCCCAATCCCCACCATCATCTGAGAAAACAAACTTTGGACATGGAAAGTGTAATAATGAACCAACCAATCCATCAACTTTAATTATACAGCATTTGTACAGAGACAACTATAAATAACATAAAATACAAAAATAATACAATTGTACAAATATATTAATCATAAAACCATAATATTAAACAGTGCAAAAAAAAAAATTTAATCGTTAAGTTTAACAATAAAAAGATGTTGGACATAAGTCAAGAAGCCTGGGCTGCATGTTGGTTTTATGCTGACAATGTTTGAAGCAGGTCTATGATAAGGATTGTCCTGAGCCCATCTTAAGAATTTGATTGGGTGCCGAAAAGTATCACTGGTTGTTATGAGAGTAGAAAACGACACTCAGCTCCTGATTTTTGTTGTCAGACGTTTATCTGTGGACTTAATACTCCTGCTGCCCTTGGGTCAAATAGCTCCATGAGATCTGGCGAGTCATTCTGACTCAAGGGCTTGATACAGTGTGCCCAGGGGCGGACTGGCCATGGGGAGCGCCGGGACATTTCCTGGTGACCTGCCCCAGTCTGCCCGCCGAGGGACTGGACTAAAGGCTCGATTCAAGTCGCGCTTTATTTTAAATAAACAATCCGCTCTTGCACCGAACTCACTCAGGTGTCACTGAAGCTCCCCTGTCCCTCCCTTCCCTCTCTGAGGCTGTGTCTGTCACAGAGTGGTGACAGCCACCCACGTGAAAAATTCCAGCAAATACAATGAGCAGTTAGTGCTTCCTTTAGGCAGAGACACATGCTTGTGTGCCCGCCCACGTGCACTCACGTCCCCAACGTTTGTATGTTTGCACGCAGTACGCACATCTCTGGGTCCGAATGGAGTGAGAGAAACAGCCAAAAGAAGAAGAAAGGTGGAGCAGTGAGAGAGAAAGAGAGGATGAAAAAAGAGAAGAGCACTGATGCAGCAAAGTGCAGTAAATTAATGTTTGTTCGTGGAGCAGGTAAGACAAACACTTGTGGTGAAAAGTGAAAACTCTTTATAACCTGTCAGCACAACTAGCTTAATGAGGTTATTTCCACTTTGAGGAACATAACTGAGCATAAACTGACTTAATAGAACAAATGTTTTAAGTTTTTACAAAGGATATTGCAAAATATATAATTTAACCATATTAAACTTTTTTTTTTTTTTTTCAGATCCTATTCGTTAACCATTGAATAGGATCTGGAAAAAAAAGTTTAATGCTGAAATGTCCAAGAATTCAGACTTTTTTTTTCCTATCTAAAAAAGTTAAGTCAGGTCCTCTAGACGGATTAAAAAAAAAACCACTAAAAACTTGTTGAAAAGTTTCATCTTTAATCTAAAAGACTGTCAGTCTGAGGAGCTGCAACAAACTTGGGGGCCGTTTACACGGCACATATTTTTTGAGTGCATCCGCAGCTTTCTCTCTGCGGTTCTGCTGATCATTTGCACGACACCAGTGGCCCCCCTCTTTGAATCCGAAGGTTTCTGACCCCACCTTCCTGAGTGGAGGTTTTTCGCTGACCGCCCGCTGATAATGTAAACATCTCCTGCTGAGGCTTTGTGTTAAACCACATGTACACACACACGCACGGATCAACGCTATATTTCTATCAACATGGCGGCGGACACACTGCTTTCTGAACTACGACTGATGGAATATATTTTAATCTCGTAGTTAATCTACGTCAGATTCCAGGTCCTGTGACCAACATTTGTGTTGCAAGAGACACAATCTGATCCAGTTCTAATATCACTGTTTATAGAACGAGGCACGCGTACACGTCGCGCTGCACTAGAACATACTATGTGCTAAATAACAAGTTTAATAACAATAAACAGTATTTATCTTAAATTTGCGATATATAATGAAGCTATCTGGACATTATGTAATTCAAATTATGTGATTACAATGATGCTAAACATATTGCATGTTATTAAAGTTGAAAATGAAGACATCAGGTTTAATTTTTATTTTATTTATTTATTCAACACCACAAACTGTATGTCACACAAACACTGATAATTAAACTGAACACACTATTAAAACAAGTTAACTGTAAACTGCATTAATGAACTGGACTCTTGTTTTCATCCTGGATGTCCCACGTTGTTTATCTGGCTTGTTCAGGCTGTCACTCCTTTGATTAATGCAACTAAAAACATTCAATGGATTGAATAAAAGAACTGAGGGGAATTTTAAATAAATAGTTCATCCAACATCTCTCTCTTCGACGTCTTCCTGCAGTTCATCTGGGCCGAGCCTCGTTCAGAACCGGTCCGCCTGGTGGAAGGACAGCTTCTTCTTCTTTCAGGAAAAATAAAAACTCAGTTGGTTGTTTTGTAACCGAAGTAAACACAAGCTTACATTATTAAGAACATTTGATTTACCTGCAGTAAATTAGATACTGATTATCCCGGAATAAAGTCCGACATCGTCGACTAGGTTCTGGTCCACTCAGCGACCAGTGTGGAGCTGTTAGACGAAGAGGTCCCGCTTGGCGTCAAATCTGTCAACTCTCATCCAAAACCCAGCTTTAACTTGTTGTTATGTTGTTGTTAGCTCATTAACCCAGAGGAAAACAGCGTGCCGAGGCAGCATGCATGCGCATTATGTGATGGTACAAAATTCACAGCTCCATCTAATGACCCGGCATGGTAACTACAGCGAATTCAGGAGGGCGGGAGGGAATCCTCCGGATTCATGTAAACCCAAAATCCGACCGTGTCAACGCAAATTTTTTCCTCTAATTAACATACCAAAAAACCTATGGATCAACCAGTTTGTTGTTGACATCCAGAACTAGCTGTTCACATGATCAAGGAGGACCATCAGCCTAATGACTGATCATTAGCACCCTGATGATTGCTTGCTATTCACGGGGGCTGAGTGATACTGATACTATAAATGAGTCCTCGAGGCTCAATGGGATTAACCTGTCTAAATACAGGTTGAATGAAAATACTAGTAATAACAGCATTGTAAGAGGAGGACAGTTGAACACGGAGGCCTCTGCATCTGTTTAATGATGGATGGTTTCTTTTCACAAAGATGGCCTCCTTCACTCCTCTCTCAAACCATCGTTCCTCTCTATCCAGGGATGTGAACATCTTCATCCCTGAAAGAGTGACCTCTGGCCTGGAGATGAGTGTAGACCACAGAGTCCTGGCCTGATGATGTTGCTCTTCTGTGCTGGGCCAAAGAGCAACATAATCAGGCCAGGACTTGTTCTATGAACATAGCCAATACATACAAATAATCAGTTAGTGAAAATGAATAGATGGGAAATTATGACATGTAATTCAGTCACATGTTACCTTGAGCATTTAGAGAGTGGAATAAAGTTTATTCTATTTCAAAAACTAAACAAAGTTTGGGAAAATGTAAAAAATGATAAAGGCCAGCAGCCAACCCCCAGTTATAAACAGGAAGTACCACATGTTCATCTGTACGAAGGCAACTGCCGGTAAATCCTCCGTTATTTGTCATAATTACCTTGTACACTTAATGGTTGAATTTAAGGTTAATGCTTAAAGCTAGTTGTGCTTTGTTTTGTGTATTTTATATGTAGATATATGTTGTAATTTCTGGTTGCATAGTCTTTGTTATAATCAGTTAAAACTAAAATGATTTGTACAAAGTGTTTAATAGGTTGTGTAATGTCAAATTTACACTATTACATACTGAATTTCTTGCCCTGTGTCACTCTGCGGCATGAAAACATCTACTGCAGTAACTATTTGAAGTTATTAGCAGCTTAGATTTATTATTTTATTTTTTGCCTGTGTTCTTTGCCTTAATGTTGTCTGATAAGGCAGAAATGCCTCACAAAACGTGCACTGAGCTTCACTACCTCCACCATTACAGCTATCTTTGTTCGTTTGTCCGAGGTTAGCTCAACCTGGGTTACATTTCCTCGTGGGCCAAGCGATTATACCATTCACATAAAATATTTTATAATGTTCTTATAGAAATAATTCCTGAATGTTGTTCATACTGTACAATTGGGTACGGCTGCAGTAGACCTAGCCCATTACTGGAGTTTTAATTAGATATTTTAAGCTATTGATAGCATGATGGATGATGATCATATTGCTTTATACTAGGCTATTGGTAAGGAGTGATTATTATTATTGTTTCATATTGGCTAGTGATTTTTTTCCCCTAAAAGCTAACTTAGGCTACACTAGGTTTCTTAGACTGTGGCTAGGATGCGTGAGAGAAGCGGAGTGTGCTCTATTCACACAAGGAGAGCTGTTGGTAAGGCTACCTCTTGTGTCATTAACTATAATAGTTACTGAATCAAGTGTTAACTTGTGTAGGTAAAACTAGATGTTAAACAACCCATTAAAATACACCAGAATGCAGGAAATGGCATCTACGCCACCCCCACCCCCCTCAAAATTACAAATGATTCCGATGGCAATGGCCACCATGCTGCTAAACAAGTACACATTTGGCATCTTATGGTGTTCAAATTGCACTTAACTCAGTCTTTGTGGTTTGTATTAATCGGGTGGTGGTGGCTTGAGATGGTATCAAATTCCCGACCTGGATTATTGTCCCAGTCTGCCCCTGAGTGTGCCTAAATGTCATTGGTTTGGAAGTTGTTTTAAATAGAAAACTAGAGCATTTTAGTAGCTACTTAGAGCATTCATACATAATTCAGGCATTTCCCACAAATTTAAGACATTTTAAATTCAAGCACTTGGTTGAGTGCACCAAGTTCACCCAGCGAACTTCTAATGCTAGCACACAGCCTTCCCAAAAACTTCTGAGTAGAAGGCTGAGAGCAAGAGGCTGGAGTCATTTCCCAGCAGAAACACATACAGGTTGTGTGGTGAAAATGTTGGTGAATGTAAACTGTTCAATCACTGATCACTGATGAAAATGTCTTAGCATCACAGGCATGAAAATAGTTATGAAGTCATATCAGCAGCAGATGTCAATCAATTTTGTAGAGTGAGATAACATACATGAACAAGGAGTGGTGGTACAGAGGTTAGAGAAAGAGGACCTGTGATTGA